TCCAATTGAGAAAAAATATATGCTCCAAGATAAAGCTCATTTAGATCTATAACTTATGTGTACACGACAATTGTTGTCCAACACTAGCAAGTAGTCGCCGATAACCTAGTGGAGAGCAATTGTGCAGAAAGATGCTGATAAAAAGTTGCTGTGTGCTAAAACGAGGGTCAATTGGCAGACAAAGTGACGAGGCAACAACGAACAACCAGACACCAGATTAACCCGATGAGTGCATGCGAAACATGATCCTAAGAGGATTAAGATTCACAATTTTAGGTGAAAGGAGAAGAACAGATCCGAGAATAGACTGGAATTGGACACACCCCACTGCCTGAAATAATCCGTTTTGTACCACATACATCAGTATAGGGTCACGCATGCAACACCAAAAGATCATTTGCAGATAACCTCCGAGGTAACGCATCAGAGACAACCGAACATGTTAGTTAAAACGGCTAGTAGACTCAGCTAGTCCCACTTATCATGATCAGTCATCTGAATATCAACAGTCTTAACTATCAAACCGTACTTGGAAGCACGATCGGTTCTGTCCTCAGTCCCCCTCGCTACTGTTGTTTCGTAGCTAAGCTTCACCCGGCGAACAAGAAAAAACTTATTGAACACGTTGCTGAAAAAAACAGCAATCCGTGTTGACAGTGAATCGATTCAGGTGACAGTAGACAAACTCAGTCCACCGATCACTGTGCGCTTCCGTGCGACAGACTTGATTGCTGTTTTGGCTATCCCCATTTAGTTGCTCAGTGAAAATGAGTGAAATTAAACAGAAAGAAGCTGCGGGCACGATCTACGTAAACATGCAGAGTACCAGTGAACTGGATCCATGTAGAAGATGAATTAGTATACGAGTGTCGGTGTGCTCATAATATTCCATCACAGCACTGGATGCTTTAGACAGCGATTAGGATAATCTGGAGGTCGTCTAGCAGAAAGTCAAATAAGACCAACGTAAATTTACAAGCCCGAACGAGTTGAAGTAAATCAATTGATGTTTCTTCATCGTTGAGAGGGAGCGGGAGGAAAGAAAACCTTTGGCTACCCGATTTTAATAGAATATATATATGAGGAGCCGACAACGAACCAAAGCTCAGAATGATACATTCCTATTACAACCGAATAATGGAATGACACTCACTTCGGTTTCCCACTGTGTGCAGCCGTCGATGCGGGAATCGTGGTGGACGACTTACAGGACCGAGAACTGGGCATCCGTGACACGTCATACTCCGTTGAAGCAGGGGAGATTGGGCCACGTTGAACCGGTCCGTTATGACTTAAAGCGAGAGCAATTTGTCGATCCAAATAGTCCGCTTCCATCAAGCCATCACGCCACCGCTTTTTATCCTATCGACAGAGATAAATCAAACAGAGAGTAAATGATAGTCCGAACTGACAATCCGATCAGATCAATGGTGCATTTAGCTAACTGGTTCGCCTCAGAAAATGCAAGTATCGAACACATAACAAGTTAATATACCCATAGCAAAACTAAATATCAACGTCAAAAGCAAGTTTAGAGTATCAGGTCAGATCGTGCAATGAGAGTGAAATAGGACTAGTTCCTTCAGACATCGAGTCACCTGTCATTAAAGGAGCGAACGACAATGAACTGCTGAGAGGAGATTCGGGTATACATTGCAAGTCCGTCTGAACGGTTGTTAAGTTTGCTATAAATCTTGTACCTCCGAAGTATGGAATAATAATAAAATATTGGGTCGACGTTGTTTGGAGCAAAATAATCACACACACACACACGCACGCACACACACACCACTAGTCGGGAAAAAACGAAACAGATTGATAATATTGATTAAGTTTCCCATTTAAGTAAATGTTTTGTTTTTGTCCCCTTTTGCGGTATATATCAAAGATTATCGTGATTAACGATCCAGAAAATTCACGCATCGGTTTCACGCAACGGAGCACACTACTAGACCCAAAACTTAACAAATCCGAACAAAGAACCAATCTTGGGCTGTGCACATCTTTGTCTCAATGATAACTGATAAAAACGAATTGCTGTTGAACGGGACAAGCAATGATACGGTTCTGCAAAAACAAAACAGAGTCACTGTGATCAGTACGAACAAAAAGATCAATAGGACTTAAAACAAACCGCAAGCAACGGATTATCCATGAAAAAAGTGAACCGACACTGTGGGAACCAACCACGTGTAATCATGAACATCCGAAAATCAGAACAGAAGCTAGTCTGGCCTTCCGATTTAATCACTAACAAATTGCTTCAGCATTTCAATATTTACACTTCATTCCTATCACAACAGTAAATGAGCGAGCATACGCTGTTTCTGAGCCATGTGTTTGTACTCAGGTTACTTATCCCCTAAGATGGCGGTTACCTACGGGGTAAATAAACTGAATGTGGGGACCATGGTCAACTCCCACCCTCCAGAATTATGTGTCATCTAATCAGAGTTGAATCAATAATTGATACGAAACGCAAGATTCATATTGACGAGGTGATCATGTCAGGAATTCCGCCAGATATCAAGTGAGTTTATAGATGGTCACGTTCGGGAAAAGTTTCACAAAACGGACGAAAGTTCTTACCCGATCCGAAGCGAAAGGGAATTGAAATGATAATAGGTCTACAGGACGTTCCAGTTCAGCAGAGGCCGCCTCATTCCCTTTGGCTTTTGTAGTGTTAGGCTGACCAGGGCTATTCGCTATACAAGAAAGACAATGCGATATAAGCGACAGGATACGTTGGGCTTCTTCTTTGCGTCGGCGACAGGCTTCTAATTCGAGCTCATTGGACGACAGAAGACGGGCAAAGTTGTCAATTTCCTTCACTACAACAAACAAACAAAAATAAAAACAGAGTTCAAAAATGAAGGACTTATGTGCCTATTGTTTACGAGGATGATGATTCATGTGAATGAAAAGCGACAAGTAAACGCAAATTCGAATTTGATGGGTACTGTGTTCGGGATTGAAAACCCTGTTCCCAAACCTTCAAATCATCATCATCATCAAACCGCCGAATGCAGGCAGGCGAACTTCACTGATCATTGCCGAACTCACAAAGCGATTAAGAATGCGTAAGCTGAATGGATAATGGGCCTGCTTTGAAGGAAGGGAAAAGAAAGTGAACCTCTACGGTCAACACACAGAGCACACAACCTAACTGTGTATGCACACTCCTTAACGCACTCTGACCCGGTACGTACTGGCAAACCAAAACATCGCTACAAGCGGTATGTTGCCATGTTCTCCAGTGTCTTCAACGGGTCGTCTAGAGCCCAGCGCGGTAGTAGAGAGGAACTTAATGCACTTGATCACTCTGAGCACTCCTCCATGCCTTGCCTGCACGTCATCTGTTGACCTCCGAATCCTTCTCATGAACAAGTGTGCGAATGGAACCCAGAACAACCGGAAAGGCATCAGCATGATTGAGTGTGTTCGATTCTCCAGAAGCATGAACGTTCCAATGACGCGGGATCCGTTAGATCGGCCATCGGTCACAATTAAATTCATTCTCCATACATCGTGATAGTGTCCGTGGATGAGATTTTGATTGCTCGAATCGCCTGTTTCGGCATGTAACACCTGGAGTATTAAACCGTCAGATAATGCAAGGACCGATTCCCATAACTTTAAAGATTATTACGCCATGACTGTCTGGCACACAGTACGATGCCAAACTGGAGTGAACGATTAAAAATACAACATACAATATCAGTGGCTTGTAGGAATCGTACTCCGGAAAAAACAGTAAGCAATAAACCTGAAAAAAGCTCTTCTAATGGGAGAAGACTTACATTAATTCAGTTCAATTTCTACAACTACGCACTTTCGTGCGGCGGAAATGATTTTCGTCTTTAGGCTACCCGTTTGAATGAGATAAAAGTGGAGATTGGAATTTTCAAAGCAATGTCGCGGTGAAAATAGGGAGTTGATGAACACTAAAGTTATAGAGAGATTGGATAGACGCACGAGCACCACTGTCTTACGGCACTCGTTCATACGAAATTTGTATTACTTGTGAGCTTACATTTCGATTACAATTGTACACCGGTCGTCACACCGAGGACAATATATAATTTCATAAAACAAGTACCATGAAGAATGTCGACTACGTTTGCTTCATGTACACGAATTCTGACGTAACTCACAAACCCGTGTTTTATTGGTTAAGAGTTGGAGCTGATAGGGTACACGGGAATTCTTATCAATGTCTCTAACCATCGGTCACGCTGATCCCGAGGTCCCCAACCACGGAGCTTTACGTGACCTATATGACCCAGTTGGTTCATGAGGGTTTTCAGTTCCCGTAACAGCCAAGTCTCTGTGCCATATAGTGGGACTGGTCGAGTTGTATGCAATACCTTTTCAGGTACATGATTTTTGAGTATGAATTCATGCGCATCTGTGGATCACTGCATAACTGCAAACAAAGATGTTAAAAAAATAATCGTTCACTAAAAATGTCCATCAGAACAAATCTGAATGGAAGGGTGTGAACAGATCGCACATGCGTTTACATGTTCCACAACTCAGCCCACAATGTTCTTTAATTAACCCAGAACTTTATTTATAAACAAGATACGCCAGGTGATCAAAGTTCCGATAAACAAAAAATACAGGAAGATGCTTGAAATGGAAAGGACAAAAACAAAAAGGCATAGGACAAACAACAACTCTTCAAACTAGAGGATTCACCGGATGGAATGAAGGGATAGGTTGAGAGACCGCATCAAGAACTAGTGATTAATGGCATGCGATCTGATATTGATGAACGGGTAAAAATCAATCCGGAGTATATCAGAGTATAAAATGCGTACGAACTGAGGGACATGTTGCCTAAGTAAAAGCATAACAGCCCGTCCGGATAGAAACGCTGGTTGTTTGGTCAGCAAACAAGCTGTGGGGAAAAAAACGCACATAGAGAAACAAAAAAAAATGCAAAGTGCATCCATCGGTGGATGAAAGTGGAGGAAAATAGATCGGGCCGAATTCAGTTGCAAAGACGGAAGACCAAATCATGTTGAACGGGAAACAAACATATGACCATCTCGAAAAACGATTTGGTGGATGAGGAGACGGTATTCTCAGTGGTCTTTAAGAGGAAAACGCTGGTATATACAATGAAAAATCCACTTTGAAATAAACACAGTTAGGCGTTAAATAAACATATCGACTTCGGTATTATTGCAGCCTAGGGATTGCCCTTACTGATTTGTTCCAGTAATTGCCGGCCACCTCTCTTTGCTTGTCAACAAGCCTGGCGAAGAATTGTGTGGCGAGCATTTGTGCCAACAAAGTGAACAGAAGGACATACCAGAACGACAGAAAAAGATACCGTTCCATAGGACATGTGTTAGGTGTGGTGACTTTGTCATGAAGACAACGGATCTACCGAAAAACGGGCTACAACTTCCGTTTTACGGAAGCCAAGAACCGATAGGTAACAGAAAATTGAGAACAAAAACTGACAAACAAAACAAGGTTTGCCAACCTAATATCACTTGAACAGTCCTGACAAGTAGCGAAATAATAAGCTGAATGAGTCGTCGATCTTGCGCGTTCGAACGGCACAAGAAGGTTTCCGCTTATCCAGACTTAATTTCGGTCCAAAAGAAAAGCGTACCAGCTTGCATTACAGTAACTAGGCTACACTATATCTGATTCACTCCGTATTCGGCCGCCCGGGAGACAGCGAGAAACACACTCAAAGCAGCCCAGCGAAAAACCAACAAAGAATCTCCTGAAAATATTACGGTACATGAAAGGTATGAAAAAACTCAATCAAATAGATCATTTGTAATGAACAAGGGTAGATTTTGAAGAAAAGGAAATTTCCGGAAGAGACGTTGCATTCTTATGTGTGTGAAACTAACATCAAAGGTCGACCGAAACTTGAAACTGAAACAAATAGTCTTCGTCCTCTTTCCAACAAAACTACCATTGGCAACACAGCACACTGCTTTGTCCATCACAAGAAACGTGTTCCAGATCCGGTTGAAAAGAAAGGTTGAGGAGAAGAATTTTCATCGACTATTTATTTTGGAGCTTCTACAATAACATGAGTCAAAAGCATGGTTACAAACGGGGAACCGTGATGTCGAATCCGGAAGCACTCATCAACTACAGATAAAACCAACAATGGTGGAAATGTAATGATCATCGCTAATTCCTTGACAGTTACGAGTGCAAAGCGGACAAAGAGTGGGGAAAAGTACAGAACCACATTTGGTGCAACCGACCGCACAAGCACGAAAGTGAAAAAAGAATGTTGGAAGAGAAAGGTGAATGGTGCATGTGATAGTTACTCACGTGCATGTCAACCCAATTCAGTGCTTAGCAAAGTGGAACCAAATGAAATGGGGCAAGAGGCATTCTATGAATGGAATGGTTGGTTGCTAATGGTTGCTAATGCTATCATCCACAGCAAAACAATCATTGTGACAACGAAAGGATTGTGACGGATTAGTAGATGACGATCTGCAAGCATAAACGATACATGGTACCCAGTACTGAATGATGATGATGTCTTAGAAGAAATCAGGTGTCAATCGTCACTCAACTTTGGTGATAGGCAGCTTCGCTATCGTCCGACTCCATACCACATATATGTTGTTAATGGAGCCTTATGTAGTTGGCCACTTCCAGTCCCGGGGCTTAGTTTACCGGTTCCCGTGAGGGAACAGCAGGTCTTTGTGGTTATGGCTTTACCCCTTTTACTGATCATCACACTGTAGTGTAATAAAAATACATTAATTTAACGTTTTCGGAGCGAATGTTATCTACGGTGAAGACGTTATAAGCATCGTGTTTAACTGGGTTGAACACTCCCGTAATTGCGTATATAT